ACAATCTGTGTTTTAAATTTAGGATATGGATCCCCGCTTAATTGCATGGAAGGGAGGTGCTGTTTTAGCCTGTCTTGATACAACTCAGGAGCTGTGGATATATCAGCGAGAATGGCAGCGGTTTGGTGTCAGAATGTTACGAGAGCGAGCTGCATTTGTATGGTAGTGAATGGATACAGTTACAATGGAACCTGCCTAACCGAAGATTCCTTTCTCCAGATGCCCCTTTTTTCCACTGCAGATGTGTTGATCTTCTGCTGATAGATATTTTTGTATTTTATTAAAATTAACTTCAACTGTTATTTTTTCCAAGTGGTGCAAGAAATGCACATTACTTCAGCATTGCTGTCCTTCCCCTTTTGAATTGTATGCACTGAAGTCTGTGTACAGAGTATCTCAGTCATCTCCAAATTTACTATATCCGTATTATACAAGTTCTGTGTATGAGAATTGCATCTTGTGGGAATTTAAGGTATAAAATATTGATGTGGCAGATGTTAAACCAAGATTCATGTCACATACATGTACACAGAAGCAATAGCTGAAGAGTGCAGGTTGTGGGTTTCATGCCTTATTCTGATTCCTACTCTAATATTGCCAGGAGATGGAATTGTTATTGCATAACAGTTATGTAATTGTTATATAGATCATCATGGAAGAAGTGAAACGGAGACCCAAAACTACAGTTGTTGTTAGTATTTTGCTTATATAATAAATTATATTCAGTTAAAAGACTTAAGAATTTGGAGTATTTTTCTTCCCTCAACATCAGAAGCTCTTGTTAGTTTCTTATTATCCATGGTAGTTGTCTAATTTTTTCCCCTACTAAAAAAAATAAGTAAATCCAGTATAATACACCCAGAAGAACTAGATGCATTTTTATACATCCAGCACTACCCTCAATCCCATGGTACAGGTACACACACTTTTCCTCCCAACAACCAATCCTTTACCTCCAGAAGTGCTATTTGTTGGGGATTTTCTTCTGTAATGAAGGGTCCTGTTGTCATGGTTATTGACCAGCACATTACAGGACCTTTTACAATAATTTTCCTTTTCTCCCACATGGCAACCATAACATCAGTCTGGCAGCCCTCATGCTGACAGAAAAAGAAAGGACGGTATGATGAAAACACACTTCTGGATATAGAGCCAGTACTTTCAACATGTGGTTGTAGCTGCACCTGATCAAAAAAGTGCTTAAAAGAATCTGTTTAGCAAAAAAGACCCCATATGCTCCCTTAAAATATTAGTGTTTCTACAAACAATGTGAACAATTTGAATGGCATTCTAAAATGGCAAGGGAGTAGAGGGGGGACTGGCTCTGTGCCTCTTACTTTTTCCTAGGAAAAAATTAGATAACTTTGTATAAAAGTATGAAAAGCAAAACTAATGAACTGAAATTAGAATTTAAAGCTTAGATTCCCATCTTCATGATGAAATAGATCCAACTTGGACACCTTACCTGCACTTACCTGTCCCCAGGTAAGTTTAGCAGAAAGAGTGTTCAGTACTAGAACAACTTAAGGTCATCTACAGTGAGGGAGCAGCCTTACATTACAGACTTAATATGTTAGTCATTCTGCAAACCAAACCCGTGAGAAAATGTGCTAAGCAAAGAAAAATTAAACACCAAAATGCTCACATGATCGCAGATGATGTTTGCTAAAGAGGAAAGTTCTAACTAAAAATGGTCCACACTCTAAATGATTCACTGATTTTACAAGTGTTTAAGAGATTAAATATTTACTCTTCATTTAGGGGAAATAAAAAACATTGAAGGAAAAAGGCCAGACCTGCCTGGTCTGATAGAATGGTAGAGACTACAGAGCAAAACAACTGGGCCAAGAAACACTATTTCAGTGAGTTACTGCAGCTTAGCCCTACCCCATTCCTGTGGCCTGCACATCCATTAGCGGTTGGTCTGTGTTAGATTGACTAGAGTCCATCTTCCAGTTTAATTTCACCCGAGAGAATCAAGGCTGCACTCCTCAACCACCCTGCAACATGAACCAAACCACAGTGAGGCCAGTGAGCAATGCCCTTCAAAAGTGCAATACTGATTTAAACTAAAACATTAATGTAACCACATCTGCAGTTGCCTAAAGAAACTTGAGAGTTTCTATTACCATGATACCTAAAAGATAAGTCTCTTACATATAATCTTATCTAACAAAATGCTTGCAGCAAAACTCAAAGAGGAATTACTAAAGGAGAAATACTAAAATTAAAAACAGTGAGAGCTCTTACCTTGATCTGTGATGACGCAGCTCCTGCAGCAGTTACACAATCATGAGTAGAGCAGCAAGGAGAAAACACCCAAGTCTTCCAGCTGAGTCAATTGTGAGGATCTCTGACAGAGAAAGAACAATCACATTAAAATAAGTCTTGCACACCTGAAAAAACTGTGTTCAGTTAGTGGATTACTGAAATGAGCATTTCAAATGTCTGCATATGGAAGAGAAATGCTTAAAGGTAACGAAAAATGGTCAGTAATCACACTGCAAATTACAGAGCTGTTGACTAATTTATTTACTTTTCTTCCCTACTTTGAAAGAAACAAGGCATACTGGTCTGAATCTGCTGCCTCCAAGTTCTTCCCATATTTCTGGAATGTACCTCCATCATCAGTTGTTCTCTCCTTTTGTTTAGAGTTTTACCATGAGCAATTGATAACAAAATAAATAATTCCTGAACTGCAGCATTACTGTATTAAGCATAAACCTTGAAAATCTAAGCAAAGGTAAAATGCACCAAGGCCAGTGTACTTGAAGTTATCTAAGACCAAAGTCATCTGCTTCTTAACAGAATATCGATATTCAAGTATTTGTATTCCAAAGCATTGCTTTTACAAGATTTTTGCAAACATACAGGGGAAAATCTGCTGAATATATATGATACATAATGCAATAGAAGCCACTGAGCAGTTTCTGCTTAGTTTTCATGGAATGTTGACTCGGGAATGCTAAATATTCAACTAGCCACTGGCTTTCATCTGCACACCACTTGTTAGGTTTTCTGTAGGCTCTCTCTCATATTGCTCATTTTGATTCTCACATTGATGAAATTACATGTTGATTTCACTGAAGTAAACCAAGTTATTTGGGGGGGGAAGGAAGAAAAGACAAGACATAACAAAAACCCACACCATTTCCGAAATTGAGAAATAAGCATTCATATCTTTCACATGGCAGCCCACTGGTTGAATAAAGCAGTTTTACAGCTAAATATTGTGCTAATTCCAAATCCTATGTCTTCCACTGCAACAGTGTAATAAAAACCCTTCAGAATTCTGTAATCTAACCTAATTACAGAATCTAATTCTATAATTCTAAATTTAATTAAAGCAGGAACATTAATGGCTTCCTACATAATTAATAGTGCTGCTTATTCACAATATAAACCTAAGCAAGTTTATTAGCACTTGCTAGATGTACCTTTCTGTGTCTGAGTGTCCCCCTCTAATAGTTAGGACTAATGCCAGCAGGGCAGCAGCTAGCAGTGCTTGCAAAAATCACTTGTCTCTATTAGAATGCATGTCTTGAATTGCACAGCGACTGGCAGTGACACTTGTTTTTACATGCAGCTATTCCTACAAATATTAAGCAAAAATGTGAAACATCAACTTCTGTTCTCAATTTAAATGCAAATTCAAGGACACAAACATACTCCTGGGAGCCAAAGTTATCCATAATGCATTTAATGAAATGCGCCAACATGAAATTTTGAGTGTCTCTTTAAAAGGAGGTTACAATACAAAATGAAGGTAAGAATACTGTTGTATTTTATGTCTACATGTACTTTTCATCATAAGGGATTTTAAAGGGGTCTAAATAAATAGGCAGTATAACCACTTCTGAGATTTAATAGATGACAAAACCAACCATTAACTGCACTTTGTGAGAGTGATTATTATCCATTTTGTGACAACAATGGAGAAAAAAATGGTATTAACTGCACTGAAATAAAAGGATGCTATTTATTTTGAAGTTTACACAATCACTACAACAGTATTTGAGCAGTTTACTGAAAACAGCTTAGGGAACATATTCATTAACATTTAAGGCCCAAGTACAAATGCAGAATTGAGGTCAAGGCATTGAGCAACTTTCTCAAAGGGAGACTTGATCAAGACTGAAGAGCTCAAAGGTATATAGAAACAAACCCCAAGCTCAAGTTTTCCACTGTACCCCTATTTGAGCCACTGAGTAGTAGGAACCTATGAATGACCAGTAACATAGGTCCATACTATATATGACCAGTGTGTCAAGTGGCAAGATTCAAATAATTAGGCACAAAAGCTTAATTTTTTTATGATCAGGTCAACAGCACATTAACTATGTACAGGCTTTGCATGTACACACATATACCCAATATCTAATTGTAGCTTTCATCATTATACTTATTCCAATCACACAAGGCCATATGCCACACAGAAATTTCTTACAGAATGCCTTATTAAAAATTGATTTCTTTTTCCTCTACTGTCAACATGGCTGAAGAGAGATGAGTGCCTTTTTGTTGTATGCTTGCAAGTAGGACTGACTCAACAAGATGGAAGCCCTATCTCCATGCTAGTTTGGAAGATCTAAACAGGGCAGTTCTAGAAAATGCCAATTGAAGGGAATAATGAAGACCCAGTTAAAATAAAACAAAATAACCAAAAACCTCTGAAAAGATCCAGATTAGAGTAATGGAGCAAAGTGACAGAAAAGATCAGATGATAGTTCTCTGAGCTAAGGACAAGAATGAGTGATCCTGAGCAGCCAAGGGTAAGACAGCTTCCCTGAGTTGCACAAATAGCCAACAAACCCCTGCAATCCTGCACGCCTGCAGGAGGAGCCCTTGAGATGAAGTGGGAAACTCCATTTTTGTCCTGTTCAAGAGTGACCACAGCCAGAATTTTGTGCTACAGGAATGTGCTTAACTGCTGAAACTGCTCTGCTGCTTCATAAACCTTCTTGAAGCTACCATCTCATCAAAAGAGAAGTCACCAAGAATCAGAAAGAAGGAATAATGATGAGCTGTGGGCAAACTCCTAGAGTCCCAGCAGACAATTCCTTCATGAGGGAATGGCTATTTGGGCAGCTGATTCTGATAACTATTTCTAACCACCCTAACCATAACTGCTGCATACTTTCAATTATATGGCTGGTAGGCTGTAGAGTGAAACTAAGAGTTTAAACTTTCGAAGTGTTTTGAACACTGTAACTGATTTTAATACTTAAATATGATCTACTGTGCTGCACTACACAGTTCATTTCAAAGGCTTTTTTAATCCCTGCTGTTATCGAGATGCTTCAAAAATACTCAAACATGAAAATCTCTAGAGTGCATACAACCATTTATTGAAAAGATGTAAGAAAACACCACACATAGAAAGAATGCATTGCGCTTCTAGAATAGTCCCTGTTTTCTTCCCAATTAGACCTTATAACCTCAATACAGCAAACATCATATTCAAGTGGAAAAATTAAGACTGAAGGGGTGAAAAAGACTACCACAAAAATATTTAAATTCATTTCTACTAAGAGTGAACTGCGGAATTTTCATCTTCATTTGAACAGCCAGGCATCAACAGGCAAAACTTTGTGGACTTTGGTTTTCCTACATGAAATTTTTCCTTGCAGATAAGAAGGAAAGTTTCAATAAGAAGAAATACCAGAAAAAAAGTTGCAGGATTTTTAATTACCATTTGCTTCCCTTGAAAGGGTAAGAATAAACATTATTATGATGACTTTCAACAGCAGCTCATGATTTTTTTTTTTCCCTTAAGGTGACAGATTCTGAATTAATCTCTAGAAAGCATTTACTCACATTGACCTTCCACTAGAAAGGCTTAAAAACACAGCAACTGAAAAGCATCAGCTTCAATTCTAACGCTTCTTTGAGGGCTTACATAGGACTGCTGCTTTGCACATTTAAACAGTGACAGATGGTCATGACACTTGGTGCTCTGCTAAACAGAACTGGAATATTTAAAAATCAATTCTATTTTATAGTCCTCTCAAGTTACTCATTCTTGTACAAACTGGAGTAGAAATTAGTGTAAATTGTTAGTATTAGCTGCAAGAATACTTACAAGGTATTCTTCTAAGAATACATTGTAATAGACAATGTAGCAAAACTGAAACAGGTTAGTTTATAGAAAATCCGGAAGTGTCGCTAAACCTAGGGAGTCCAGATAGATAATACAGCAAATTCACTTTGAATTTGTTTCTTGTCTACTTCAGTCAGAGCTTCTGTAGTTTGTAGCTTCAAAAAAGATAATGGTGTGCTTTTAAGTTTCTGTCACTGAAGATAATCCTGATCTCTGCTAATCCATCTTAAAGAATTAGGACCCCAGAACTCTACAACGTGGACCCATCCATTACTCTTCATCAGTGGTTTTGGTTCTTTTCTGGTTTTCTGTATTGTTCTATTCCTGAGAAATGTGTACTCACTTTCTATTTACTCACTTTTTCCTGTTGTGACTGTATTTACAGTGTCTCTAATAATTAACTTTCTTTTTTCCCCTAGGGCATAACACCAATGATTTATGCCCTTTACACGATAATTCATTTTTCCTTTTGTCTTTGAATTATAACCTCAATCACAGATGCTTTTTGTGCTTTTTTCCTAGTCAAACATTTAAAATTTCAGCGCAGGACATCTTGCCATCAACCTCTAAAGAAGTTTAGGAGAAAGTACACATCAGTGACTGCCAAAACAAGATGATAAATCTGTAGGGAAGAAGCTCTATCCTGAGACAGAGTTGTATTATACATCTCCTCCTTCACAATTATTTCAAACTTTGAGGATGATTTTAATAATTAAACTGAAAAGGCCTTTTAGAAAATCAATTTTCTGCCCATCAGATAGTAGAGTCCAGAGCTGATAGGTCATTTCTATGTGAGCATAACATTATAGTCATTAGTACCTTTGATATTCCTATGATTGACCTACCCAGGCATTAATATATAAACAAATTATGGCCTTACAAATTATGGCTTTACAAATTATGGCCTGACACACCCTTAAGGGCTCTGCTTTCACAAAGCCACAATTTAAACATACTGCAACACAAACAACATAGTAAAAATTCACTGATCTTTGTGCTAATTTGTGTATTGGTCTATTGTCTTTCCAAGAGTTTTAATGTAACATGAATCAACTGTAGTAATGCATATAGCAGAATCCATCCTGCTCTTACACTTCTAGCACAAAAACAAAACCACCAGGTGCCATAAGATTATAATCATCAGCTCTGGAGACTGGTGCTTGGGAGTTTTTTCCATGTGAGGGTCAGGGTTGCACACAAGTAATTCAGGTTACCTTTTTAGGTCTTGCTTCAGCCACATCTTATGGGCAGAATTCACTGAAATTGAAGAAATCAGCAAATTAACTTTTTTCTTTTTTTCCCCTCATAGGAAAAAAAAAATAAATTGATTCTTATTAATGTCATCAGAGTGCTTAAAAGCTCTAGCAAGGGACCAGGACTATGACTCCACTGCAGCAGGTGCTATACAACCAGAAATCAAAACCTCACTGTTCACTCAAAAGAAAAGAAATAGAATAGTTCTTAAATGTGTGTATTTAATTAATATTTATATACTTTTTACTTTCTTACACATATTGAACACATTTTCTATAGACTTATTTGCTTACTGAATTAAAGTATTGAAGGTGTATGAAAATATTCAAATACTGCAAACCCCTATCAACTTGATTTCAAGTATTCTTAATCACTACAAAAATTACAAACCACTTATATTAACTATGCATTTAGTTCCACAGGAGACAATTAGTCTTTTCCATTAATGAATAATTATTCAGAAGTTCACAGTTTGGTGCCTGAGTATGAATAATCAACCACCCAGAGACTGTCCACTATTCTCTGCTTATCTAAGAACAAAAAGCATTAACAAGCAGTTATCCCAGAGAATTATTAGTCATCCAGTACATTCCAAGCAGAGAGATAAGGAAGGACTTGGGAAAATAATCAACACCTGTGAGCAATAGTGAAGATACTGTAGCAAGAGACTACTGTCATTACAAAATGTCAGGAGAGAGTGCAAGTTATGACAATCTTGATTAGTCTTCATCGTATCATCCGTATTCTACCATGAGTATTCTGAATGAGACAAGACTCTTGGGTTCATTCTCCAAAAGCCCTCAAGAGCAGTTGATACCTACCTTGGAGAAGTCTAGACACCCTGATAAAGTAAACTCATCCTGTCCGGACAAGGTAAAAGGAAGTCATGTGACACTATGCCCTTGAAACAGGAACAAAAGTAGACCAAAATGTTTGAATGAGCAAGTTTTGAGAAACATAGTCATGGACAACAGCCAGAGAACAACAGGGCATACACAAAACCAGAGCTCATCTAGCAGACACAGTGAGGAAGACTACTGAAGACCACCAGAGGACCCCCAACAACCACCTAAGAGACTGTGTGCACATGTGTCTAAACAAACATTTACATAGAATAATGAGTTCTAAGAAAATTATGAATATGTTAATAGTTTCCTGGAAAACTAATGCATATTTATGTTTTACCTGAATAAAAAAACCTCCATAGTTAAACCATCATGCACACATGAGGTGGAGCAATCCCCTCTATGTCCAGTGCTGAAATAAAGGCTGTCTGCTTTCTAAAACCCCAAATTGAGTCTTAGAGAGCTCTTTGACCAACTTTTACTGTAACACAGTAGCACTGACTCTGCACACACCCAATCCTTGGCCATTTCCCGGTAAATGTTAACGGGATCTTCTCATCACTATGTTTGAATGCAGTTTAGCCTACAATGAACTCGCACAGAAGCGGGACATACTGAAGACACTTAGAGAAAAAAGCCAGCAGAAAAGTTGTATGGAAGTGGCAACGGCCCTGTAGCATTCTTAGTATTTTTTGCTACCCAGTGGGATACTGTTGAAAACCACTGTTGATTGCACGCTTACACATGATGACTGCTACAAACAGCTAGTGGTCATTGCTGAGGTAATGAGTCAGGTAACACACACTGGGGTGGTGGGGCAATTCATTTCACTACTAGCTCACTTTCAAACTAACCTATTCGGAAATCACATCACACAGTTCAGGGTCACCATTAAAGCCTTGAATTGCCAATTCCAGCTCAATTTACAAGCGCAGCCCTTGAACACTGTGTCCACGCACGAACACTGCACACACCAGCTCGCGGGACCCCTCCTCACAGGACCTTTCCCGCTGCTCTCCGCTTCACCTCCACCACCCCACGTCTCCCAGCACTGCCGTTGGAAAATGGCTGTTGCAGCCGAGGCGACCTAGTTTAAGGAAAGCTAATGCTTTTGTCTACCCCACTGATGGGCTGAGTGAAAAAGCGAAAGCCTTCCCGGGAATGGTCGGGAGGCCGCCTCGCTCCGGCATCTCCTGGAGGCAGCGCGGGGAGCTCGCTCGCAGCCCTGTTTCTGCGTGCGGGAGCGGCAGGGTGCGGGAGGCTGCGGACTTCGTCCCGCTGTCGCTGTGGCCGGTTTCGAAACGGCACGAAGTCGCTCTGACACAACTTTGGCAGAGGCCAAAAGGGTGCATTCCCCTGCGAAGTTCCACCCGCTCCCCCGCCGAAGCCAGTCCCGAGAGAGGGGGCCCCGGCGTCGCAGCCCGCCCCTGGCTCCGCGCTCTCCCGCCGGGGGCCCCATCACTTAGCAGGGACCACCCACCTGCTCCGCGCTGGGGGCTGCCTGCGCTGGACGAGCGAGTGAGCGGGGCCGCAGCCGGCGGGCAGAGGAGCCTCTTAGAGGCGCTTCTGGGAGCCGTGAGGAGGAAGGGCCCGGGAGACGGGAGCGAAGCCCCCCCTCAGGGGCTCTGAGGAAGGCACAGGCCTCCCGGTCCTGCGGAGGGTACCGGGACAGGCTCGCGATCGCCCTCCTTGGAAGGCCCGCTCTGGTCCCCGCCTTTGTGCGGTACAAGAGCTGCTCCGGGCTCCCCGAGCAGAAGTTCACAGCAGCCTGATGCCCTGGTCCTGCAGATACGTTTGTTCCTAAAGGAGGAAATGGTGGGGTAAGTAGGCTTGGACAGTTCAGCCACTAAAATGAAACTTACAAGGTTTCTGTAACCGAATGAACTTTCTTACTAGCAGAACTGGAATGGAAAGTTAATCCAAAACATTCCCACAGCAGGTGAATTTAACTTGTGTACACAGTCTGCAGTGGGGGAAGAAACTGAATAAAGGTAAGAGATGCTGTTACCCGAGGGGCTGTTCCTCCTCCGTCTTACACAGACAGGTCTGACAGGATTTGGCAGCGCAGTGCTGTGAAGGGGAAACGTCCAGTCCAGCGGAGGTCTCACTCCTCTGCTACACCATGTATTGCCCATGCTATTAGACAGCTCTGGGACAGGGGCGCATTTTACATCTGCAAGAGAGGGTGTTCGTGTAACTTTTCTAGATTAGCCACCTCATCCACCTGCAGAACCATTTCATTACTGCTCAGTTTTTTCAATGTATTCCTCGCTATGTGTGGGGGATGCCTACCCTCCTCTCTTTCTTGTAGACTATAAGTCTAAGAGCAAGGTCTCTAGGATAAATGCTAGAACTTTTGCTTAGCTTTGTTAGAGATGGCAAGCCAATTTAGTCCAACCCGCACCCCCCCCCCCCAAAAAAAAACAAAACAAAAAAAAACCCAAACAACCAAAACCCCCAGGTAACACATAGCTCACATTCTGCATCTTCACTGTCCCTTACCCAAGTCTGTTTTCACAAAGCAGCATCTGTAGAGTTACAGAGCTGCAACGGTAGGTACACATGGGTTACCTCAAGGTTTATTTCTTGCTCAAACCTGATACTGCATTCTGAAACATGTTAACAATGATGCACAGAGCCCCAAACACTTCATTTCACAACTTCACTGCCCAGTTCTAGCTACCTAGTGCTCATTATTAAACTTTAGGAACAGAATTTTCCTGCTGAGATGCTACTGATCTCTTCCCTCTTGTATGCCACCGTCTACAGGTTTTGTTTAAGAGTAATATTTGTAAATGCATACTTTTAAAAAAAGAGCTCCCCATTTTGAAGCCACAGTGCAATACAGGGAACATATTTTATGTTGCTCTATATGCATTTCTGCAGGTCTATTCACTAATGCCTGAGTAATGTCTTACTGAATATTCATTAAGAGGTCATATGTGAAAATCCCAATGAAGACATGCAGTAATACCCAGTAAGGTCCAAAAAACAACTTTTTGCTCGTGGTAAGTACAAAGCATTCCCGTAGAACCATGTTGTGTAAACTTGCTTATTTCTACATATTCTGTTTTGTCATAGCTACTAAGGTATTTAAGAGAGGTGACCATAAAACTGTAGTTATAAATTCTCTTTGGCAAAAAAAAAAACCACAAAAACAAAAAACCAAAAAAAAACCACAACAAAAAATAACAAAACAAAAAACCAAACAAACAGAAAACCCAAACAAACAAAAAACAAACCAAAACAAACAAAAAAAAACAGATAAAACTAAGGAAAAGTTGAATGCAAGGATGCATTTATTTTTTGACTGATATTCTCTTGGTCTGCAGAATTCCACAAAACTATCTTCTGTAGAAGAAGATGAACTGTGCTAAACCCATACATGCTCAGCAAACTACATAGATTATTCTAGAAAGCAGTATTATCATGTTCTGATTTCAGGACTTCATGATCTCAGTCCTTAATACCAACCTCTTCAATGCAAGGTTGAATTCTTCTATGAGTCTCAAAGCCTGCACATGAAAGACAGTCTTAACAAATCAGCTTTGCAAAGGGTGTAGAATTCTGTATTAGGATTCTGGTATAAGCCAAGGCACAAACACTTCATCCTGTAACACCAATGCTGCCTCTGGAGCGTCACTTGACATAGCATTTCTGGGAGCTCAGTACTACTGATACTGCCGCAAGCTATAGAACTACAGCCTCCAGTACTACCAAAGTCAGTCCCTGACTGGACATGATTCCAGGTGTTCTGCAGAATCTACCCTTTCTACAGCCAAGAACCAGGTAGATTGTAGGTTTAACAGCTGTCATTCTGGTTAAGGGGCACAGTAATACTTAATAGCATTATAGATACCATGTCAAAACAAAACAGCCAGTACTTAAGTGTTGAATATTTGTAGCATCAAAATCTAAGGTTATACTTCCTTGGGAGTAATGCTGATCACTTTACCTTACTATGGTGAATCTCCACCAATAAAAATTAAAAAAAAAAAAAAAAAAGCCAACAAAGCTCCCATTATAGAGACAAAGCATCTTTCCCAGGTTATCAAGGCCCAGACCCATATTCTACCAAACCCAGCAATAAAATCCCATGACCCACCAGTTGCACAAGAGCTTCAGAACTTATATTCTCTTCACCACACACACAAAAACCCCCACCTATAAACAGAGAGGTTTTATATCCTCTCCTGCTGCATCACAGGAAATTGCTGAACCCTCTGTTCCCAGAAAAGGTTCTTTAATAGTCTCCACCTGTAGAAAGACAACCCCTCACCTCCAGCTGGGATCAATTTTGAATTAGCCAGGTGAGAATGACTTTGAGGGTTTGTACAGCCTATTACAAGTTTTCCTAAGAAGAGTAAGAGATGTGTGCTTCTTCTCATCCATTTCCCAAGAGGAAAAAAGAATACTTTTGCATATGAGATTGTACATCAAACTGTAAATAAATATTGTTGTACGTGGAAGACTTTTAAAGTTTATCAGCAGCCTGCATACAGAGTTGGCCTTAAGGGCTCTTGTGTGCTCTCACAAACTTTATATTGTAGTGTTTCACTCTAGAAAATGAGTACAGTTCTGTTCCACCTTTTATAAGAAAAAGCTGATTGTTTCAATGATCCATTAAGGCACATTTTAGTGGGAAAAAAAAAAACCCTCAAATTGAATTTATGAATATCAGTGTAACACTTTCTGAAAAAAAAAGTTTTTACAGACATAATACAGTATTCAGTTTTTTTTTTGCAGGAGAAAGCTTGCTTATGTCTTTTGGATGGGTAGTGCATTACAATATAACAGCCTCTGGATAGGTTGCTGTCTCTAGAATCCATAGCAACAGCTTAGACAGAAGCCATGGGCCAGGAAGAAATACTGTTTAAAGCCCAAGGATATCCATTTTCCTGGATAATTGTTTATACCAAGAGGAGTAGTTTCAAGGGGAGAGAGGAAGAGAAACATGCTGGTGGTGTTCAAGGCCAGGTTAGACAGAGCCCTGGGT